TGAGGGCTAATCACAGATATGGGCGTAAGTTGTTTGAATCTCAACATTTTATATCCATATCTCATAATGTTCTTCCATACAGCATATGATCCATATTTACTGCATGCCTGGAATGAACACTACGCTGCTCACAGTTTACACAGTGCTTATGGCGCTGGCCTATCTCATGGCGCCCATCCCCGAGAGTCTGCTGCCAACAGTGATATGCAAACACAGCCCGCCATGATGACTCTGAAACAATTTTTAGACACACAAGACGATGGCATCTCCGATACCGAAGTCCTGCGTAAATACAATGAATACAAATTGGAATTCAAGCGGCAACAGTTGAATGAATTCTTTGTAGCCCATAAAGACGAGGAATGGTAAGTGGTGCAATAAGACCGAAGAAGAAGCTGGATCTTGTGATTTCAGTTTCTAATAGGTATCTACAAAATTTCCAAATCTACACTTTATTTGTTTAACGTTTATATCACCATCAAATGTGCCACTGTATGTTTACATAAGTTTTTCTCTACAGCTATTTTAAACAAGGCATCCTTATGGGAGCCAACACGCCAACAGCCTTAGTAACTGTAGGACGATAAGTGCACAGCCAAAAAAACTCCATAGGGAGTTGTGTTGTGTGCCCTGAATATGCCTAGATTTCTCCTACTACCACTACTACTTCTTCTTCTGAATGAAGCATGATCATTTGATTTTCGATACGATTTGATTTAATTGTTTTGCACTTGGCGAGCAATGCCATAGTGTGTTTAAATAGCCTTTTTAAAATCGCGTTTATATTTAAATCGTTTTTTGAAATCTATCGTTATAAGAACGCCAGCAAAGCCATGATCTTTAAATCATAGCTAGCTGAAAGGTAAGATTTCACAAACACTATCTTTTTAAAATAATGTTGTATACATAGCGAATTTGAGCAACAACAATGCCCTGCCAAGCACAAAAGGTCAATAGGTCCCAAAAATCTTGTGGAGTGACAAATCAGATGAGAAGAGATTTACATGGACACACTTCAAACATTCCTATGGAAATTTATTTGAAAACTTCCATTTTTTTTGCTATACTAATTTTTGTATTTCCATTTTCCATCTATTTTTTTGATAGGTTCAAGAACAAATATCACCCAGTGGATAGCGTTAAACGCAAAGATGAACAATTAAATTTCCTAAAGGTACATATTTATCTGTCTATCATTTAAATATTGATAAAAATGTTAATTTTTGCTTTTCTTGGGTTTCCAGAAACGTGTAGAAGTCTTCGAGGAGTTACTACAGAACGGTATGATTCAAAGCGTTACCGTAGATACCAATCAAACAGACCCTCTTTTGCGGGTTTTGGACACTGTCGTTATAAAATTGGAAGGCGGCACCGATGAAGATCTTAAAATTTTAGACGAAAAGCCTAAAGAGGCCTCTTATCCTGAACGGATATTTGACAAGAAGGGGGATGATGATGATGTTATTATCACCTCGGTTGAAAAGAAGGATGACGATGAACCCAAGTGTGTCTCCCCCAAGGCCACAAGACGCCATAGTGGCTCCGACAATGAGGAAAATTGGGACGATGATTCAAAATCAAAGAAAGGCGAAAAGAAGAAAAAGTCTCTAAAAAGAAAACGCACAAGTTCAGATTCTTCTTCGTCCTCATCCTCCGATTCAGATTCTTCGAGTTCTTCCTCCAGCAGTGAGGATGAAGCGGATGACAAGGTTAAAAGTAAATATGATTTAGATGATGTCAAAGAAGATACTAAAGAAGAAGAGGAAGAAGAAAACAAGGACAAGGATACAGAAGAAACTGAAAAGGTCAAGTCAGCCGATGAGGAGACTGAAAAGAAAGCAGACAGCGACAATGAAGAGAAAAAACTTCTTGAAAATGGCAGTGAAGAGAAGGAAGATCTGAAAGAAGAAACCGAAACAAAATCCAATGGCAATGATGCTGATGGAGATGCTAAAATGGAGGAGGGGGAAGAGAACAAGAAGGAAGAAGAGGCAGAACAGAAGCCTGATGTTAAAAATGACGAGGAGGATGAAAAGAAAGAGGCCGTCGAGACTGAAACCTCAGCGGAAGATAAAAAAGCCATAGATGACGAACAGCCAGAGACAATTGACTTGGACAAAGTCAAAGATGGTCCTCAGCCACGTGCTTTACATCGCACCTCATCGATATTTTTGCGGAACTTGGCTCCCTCTATTACTAAAAGTGAAATCGAGGCTGTTTGTCAGAAATTCGATGGCTTCCTCAGAGTAGCTATTGCCGATCCCTTGGTGGAACGCCGTTGGTATCGTCGTGGTTGGGTCACCTTCAAACGTGACGTAAACATTAAGGAGATCTGTTGGAATTTGAATAACACACGTCTACGAGACTGTGAAATGGGCGCAATTGTCAATAGAGACCTCAGTCGCCGGGTGAGGCCTGTGAATGGCATGACTGCCCATAAAACTGTTGTGAGGGCCGACATTAAGTTGTGTGCAAAAATTGCCATGAATTTGGATGAGAAGTTTAGACTTTGGGTAAGGGGAAATAGGACTATCTTTGTAAAGTGTTTTAATTTTGATTATTTCGTTTAGCAATCGTCTAATGCCGAAAGCAAGGGCGAAGGTGGTAGTGGTGAAAATAATAGTACTGCTGAGAACACAACAGATGCTCACAATACATCCAACTCTTCAACGTATGGCTTCAAAACCAACAACCCAGTTTTGCAGAACATTACCGATTTCCTTATTGAGGAAGCCTCGGCCGAAGAGGAAGAACTCCTTGGCATTTCCGGAGAAAACAAGGAGAGCGAAGGCGAAGCCATTGAACGGGATCCCCAATTGATTTCTGTTCTCGATAATCTGATTTTGTATTTGAGAATTGTGCACTCAGTGGATTTCTATAACCACTGTGAATACCCCTATGAAGATGAAATGCCCAATCGTTGCGGCATTATTCATGCACGTGGACCCCCGCCGTCAAAAGTCTCGCAAAATGACATTCAAGATTATATTAAGAATTTCGAAAACAAAATGCAAACATTCTTGGCCAAGACAACGACAATCGAGGAGGAGGAATTGAAGAATCTGGGAGCAAAGGATGCTGAAAATGAAGTGGAGAAATTCATACAGGCCAACACCCAAGAATTGGCCAAAGACAAATGGTTGTGTCCGCTGTCGGGCAAGAAATTCAAAGGTCCCGAGTTCATACGCAAACACATATTCAACAAACATGGCGAGAAGGTGGAGGAAGTACGCAAGGAGGTGGAGTTCTTTAATAACTACTTGAAGGATCCCAAGAGGCCGCAGTTACCAGAACATCCTGGTAACAATAAGAGGACCACCTCAGAATCCAGTGGAGGTTACAGAGCCCCTGTATATCCACCAGCTGCTTATGCACCACCCTATGCGGCATATGCCCCGCCGCTTATGATTCCAGGACGTGGAGGTCGTGGTTTTGGTGGTCCCGGACGAAGGTATATATAGCAAAATTTTGTTAGTTCTAAATAAATACAAATAATTCCCATAGCTTAGTTTGTTATTGTAATGCAGTTGCTTTGTTTTGATATTTAACTCTCAGTTTTCCGATACTACTACTACTAGAATTTTGGTTGAAGTCTTTTTACTATTATTTTTTTTTTACTCTACTTTACAACTATCTTTTGTGTGTGAACTTCTTTTACAGAGACTTGCCCATAGAACATCAACGTCGTATTATTGGTTATCACGATTTGGATGCTCCGGCCAATTTCGATATGTTTGATTAGACAACAACAAGAAAAAGAACATGAACATGAACCGTTATAACAACACCGACAACGACGAAATGACCATGACCAGTTTGTTGTTGTAATCGATGATTGATGTTAAGGCTAAAAGTTGTCGTCCTCCTCTCTTTTTGTTTTCTATTTTAGACAAAAAAAAAAAAACAAAATGTACGACCCAATGCGCCTACTATTCTAAACTTTGCAGTGTCTGTCTGTCTGTTTGTCTCACTACGTCATTGTTTTGTTCTTTTACTTTAGTTTAGTTTAATTTGATTTATTTTATATGTTTTGTGTTGTTTTTTTTTTATTATAAACATTCGCATTTGAAATGGCAAGCGAAAAAGAAGAAATACATACCATCTAATTTAAAATTTACCTTTAGCTAATTATTTTATAAACGTACATGCCCCCACTTCCCTGATATTTTTCACTTGGCGTATGTTAGTGACTTGAAGATTATGTGTTGGAAAATATTAGTTGAACATTAAACTAACAAAATTAGCAATATATACATACATATAAACATACTATTAAACTAAACCATATTTTGTTATTGAACTTTTGCATATTTTTTTTTCTTCTTCCACAACATCTTTTGTTTGCTTGCAGACCTGGTCAAGAGTTTCGTCAAATAATACAGTATCGTGACTTGGATGCTCCACAAGATCCCATTGATATGTTCAATTAGAAAAAAACAGAAAGAAAAAAAGAAAAGAAATACTAAAATAAACATAAGCGCTACAAAATACGTATTTTACTTAATCTTAATATCATACTCTCTTCCTACCTCCCTCCCACCACGCCCCCTCAGCAAACAGCAAAATGACAGCAAGCATAATGTATGCCCTACTCTGCTTCTGTATTTAGTTCAGTTCATTTCGGTGCGGTTGGTTCCTTCTTTCCTCGATCGATCAACTTAGTTTAGATTATAATCTATTCTATGATGTACGACTGTGTGTGTGTGCGAGCGTGTGAACGTACGTGTTAATAGCAAAAAAAAAAAAAAGATGACGACGGAGAAGAAGCTGCTAGATATTCTACAAAGCCAAAAACAAAAAGAACAATAAAAGCAGGCAGGCAAGCAATTAAACCATCTATCCCCATTTGCTGGTGGCAAACCAGAGGGAATATCACCACCTAGGCAAGCAATACAAACCAACTCACACCGCCACACACACACGCGCGCACCCCACTTGTCTGTCTACCACATTTTATAATTAATAAACGTACATTGCTCTATGTAATTTCTATTTGTCAGTAACGGTATAATGTAGTTTTTATTTTTAAAAATCTTGTATTTTATATTGTTATAACAAACGAAACAAAAACAAATCTTCATTATTATTATCAGCATCATCATCATAATTATTTTCTTTTATAATAGTAATAGAATATTATTATAAATATATAAACCTATATTATTATAATTATTTAATAATAAATAGAAGTTCTCAACCCAAAACAAAAAAAAAAAAAAAAAAAAACCAGCTGTCGCAGCCGCTTTAACACTCTTTACTCTTCCACCACAACCTTCTCTCAACAGCAGGGGCAAGCGTGTGATTTTGTTTTTTTTTTTTATGGTTGGGTTCTCTTTCAGGAGCACATATTTTCCATATAAAATTTGACATTTTTCATTGCCCTCAGTATGTGGTCGTTCAGTTTATTGCCCGCCACACCATCGAGTTCTTTTTCCAGCACCTCTTCGGCCTTCTCCAGCGATTCTTTGGCATTGGTGAACAGTTCCAAGGCTTGGATTTTATCATCGTCTAGCATACGTCGACCCTGTTCCATGTAGACGGTATGCATTTCATGAAAAATAATGGCCACATAGATGGACAGACGTATTGTGGCCGGATCAAGCTTCTGACAGATGTCATATAAATCTTCACACATTTTCAATTTCTTTTGCAATTGGCTGCTGGACATCTGCTCCGATTTGTAGCCCATTTCGTTGCCATACAGCTGGATGAGACAATGTTTCAAGCTGAACATGTGATAATGATTGGGATGCAAAAATGTACCCAATTTCTCAATGAGACTCTCGACTTGTTTGACTGTGGGACGACGGGCCATCAGGGTTTTAACCTCCTCCGTCATTTGTGTTAGAAGATAACCAACCTGTTGATGGTTTGGAAAGAAAAAGAGGGAAGGATGATTTGAATTAAAGTACAGATATCATCAATGCTAATAAAGTTGAATTCCTATATTTTCCATTGTATCCGACCGGCATTTAACACCCTCCCTTGGTGAAAAGTTGCTATCTTTCACTAACAACTATATATGATAAGGGAGAAAGCAAGGAAGGGGATAACATAGCTTTTGTATGACAATTCGAAAGTAAACTCGAAAGAAAAACACTCATTCCTTGGTAGACAAAATATGAGTGGATTGGGGAGAAAATTTACATTTTCAACAAATTGAATAACTATTCATGGATGGCCTTAATTCCTATTGGCCCGGATCGACAGCGATGTGCAGAACATCTGCCCACCTTGTGGCACAGGACCACATCACACGCTGCACCTTTTTCGCTGTCCAGCCAAACCTACTCATCTAACTCCAGTCTCGTTGTGGATCAAACCCGTACAGGTTGCATCCTTTTTGAGACTGGATTTAGAGTCAGAACCCGATTGAGAAGAGTCAGATCGAACACGGTAGTATGAGCTGCTACAAAAACAACTATTCATGGATGCCATTGCAGATATAAACCTGAGTTATACATCAAAATTGCTTTTGGGGAGAATAAATGTTTGGATTTTGGGATGAAAAAAAAAAGAATTCGTATTGAAGTCCTGAAATTTTGAGCAAACCTTAAACTTCCATTAATTTTTAAATCAAAGTGTTGCAAGAGAAGTGCCAGATAAAAAACAATGTGCTGCATTTTTTGTACTCAATCTGAAGTTTCAAAAATCTGCCCTACCTTGTAAGGATAGTATCAATCGGCCATGAAACACTTGGCCCTGCATCAAAGTTCCTTAATTTTTACTCTCCTACCCATAATCGATTCTGAATTTGATAACTGATCTCTTTTAAAAATCCCTCCCCAGATCACAATTTCATTATCTCAACTCACCTGTTCACCATTGACAACCATGGGACATTTATTGCATATCCAATCGGTTTTCTTATCCAACGGATCCTTGGGCAACTGAATGCCACCATCACATTTTGTATTCACATCGCCGGCACACTTTAGGGCACTGAAATAGCTACCCAATTCCGTGGGATCTGTACAACGTTCGCAATGGCACTTGAAATGTTTCGTGATCTGCAAGTGTTCCAACCTCATCTGGGTGGCCCACAACATATTGGTGTACATGATTTTGATGTGCTCCCCCTCTTTGATGTCTCGTCCCGCAATAACGGAAATACTACAGCCATCACATTCATTAAATTGGAAATAACTGTTGGGCATACACGAATGTTCCATCATGCAGGCGGTAAAGAAGACCCCACTCAGATCCAGACCCGTTGAAAGGCTAATGACCATATAATTGGTTTCTATGATGCCACAAATGCGACGCAGGATTTTTGCATCGTATTGCTCGAGTAGCTTTTCTTTGGTCGTTTCCTCCCTCTTTTTGAGCGGTTCCAAAAAGTTCTTCATCAAATATGTGACGACACGCTTTTCGGCATCTCTAGAAGAAGAACGAACAGAAAAAATAACAAAAAGAGCACACAGACGTGCAGGCGGCACACACATCATCCATTGTGACGCATATATGTATGTAGCCAGCCACCAGTTAGCTACAGTGCCAACGTTTTACTTATGTCATGTTTTCAATAATACATACTCTTGCAGCTCTGATCCTTCGCGGTCCTCTTCATGGCTCTGCATCTTCATTAGCTTCTTCCACTTTTTGGGATTTTGCTTTTGCAGCAGCAGACATTTCAATACCAGCAGAGCATCCGGCCTGTAGTAGTCGGTCATGGCTTTGATGTCACTTGTTGTTTTTGGTCCAGGGCCCAATCTTAAGATCTCACAATCTATGCCATGGCTATTGGGATTTTCAATATCTTCACAATGGGGTGAACAACAAGGCCACTGGCACCTGAGTGTGGGAATGGAGTTGTTTGTGTTGTTGTGAGAGCGCTTTTGGGGTGATTCCAAATTATATAACTTACTTGGTACAACTGAAACCACCTATGCGACAGGGTGTATAACAACCCACACAGGGCATAACGGGCACCTCCTGTTCTCGCTCCGAAACAAACCATTTGGGCCCCACCACCAATGGCTTCTCCTCGAAAATAACATTGCCGGCTTGTATGTCGCGCGTAACCAAAAGGTGGCGACCCAAAATTGCGTCATTTTCAATTCTATACGAGCTTTCGCATTCTACTTTGTGTTCCTGCCAATGTTCACGCTGATGATCTTTGCCACAATACTTAACACTTTTGCATGCCGAGCAAGTCAAAGTGGCTGGCACCTGACACACGGCACAACGATCGGATTTATCACTGCCGGCGGAAGACATTTCGCTGATTGTTATTGTTGTTGAAGTAAGGAATCGAAAAGGATTTCCCTTTCACCTGTGTTGCGCTTGTTTATTTGCTATTGGATTTATTTATTTATTTGTTAGTTAGTTATCATCGATTCAATAATTTATTAACTTTAGTACTTGCACCGCTGCGGTGGAAACTGAAGAAAAGGTGCTCGCGTCGCGTACGTCTTTTTCTGATGGCGATGTTCGGGTTCTATTCACTTTAGTTTTTATATGCTGAGAAGGAATATTATATTTTTAGACCATTCAACAGATGATATATACGCACACTTGCGATCCTAACCGTTTAATAAATTCAAATGAAATTCGTTTGAAGATCATCACACACTCCTACAGAGAACAAGCAACACCACAAGTCTTTCGTTCGTTCATTTCGTTTGGCTGTCGCGGATGTTGTTGTTTATGGGCCGGTGCAGGAGGCATGCGCCATGAGATGCCTAAATGTTGCTCTTTTGCGAAGTGTTATTATGGGTGGTGCGTATGTGTGTGTCGCATGTCAAGTTTGTTGGCCAGCACCACCATCCATAGGTGAGTAGCAAGTGGAGGGGCATCAAATGGTCTTAAAAACATCAAGACAAGAAAAACAAACATAATTGCTAACAACAAAAGGTGGGCCAAAGAAAAGGGGAATGGGTTTCAAGATTTCAGAAAATAATGATTTCCAAAGCTAGTCCCAAAATAAGATCAAGGGGACTCAGGATCATAACTTAAAAATGTTAATTAGGAAATTGGCCTATCAACATTGTATTAAATGTTCATTTATTTAAATAGTAAACAATTTCAACAACTTTAATTCTTAAAATCTAAATTATGAGGCAGTGTGCACTCGTTACTGTCCCCCACTGTATATACAGATATTCAATTAACCGACACAGCCTCAAAAACAACTTATGTGCTACTTATGGTGATGATGATGACGATCCATCAAAAAAATCACCTCATCAATTCCGTAATTCAATGCGATCTTGCTTCAACAGGTAAGGATGTGCCTCTAGAATCTCTTTTTGCTCTCGCATATTACGCACAACACCCGGCAAATTCCAGGCATGTCGCAGCAAAGCTCCTTCCACCGAGAATTTCCCATGGCGGATGCATCGTAACGCTGTACAATGGGCCACGGTACGCAATTCAATACCAATTTCATGGACAAGTGTGGCTAAATAACTTTCCGATTCATTAATGGCATGAATTTCCAATGTAAAATGAGGTTTTTGGAAATCAATTAATTTAATGCCATAGATGATGGGCTGGCTGTTGTTAGCAGGTCGTATTAGGCCCTTGCAGGCAATTTCATAGGCTGCCTGGGATTGCATATCCACACCACATAATTCGAACATTTTGCACTGATGTGAGGCTTGCAGGGAAGAGACTAAGGCACTTAGGCGGTCTGGATGGACATGGCGGTAGTTAGCCTTCAGCGTTATATGCGAATCTGGCAAATGTGTTTCAGTGGCCTTGCCCAATTGGCCGGTTACATGGTAGGCTCGTATCGGACGATTGCGTTGTATTCTCATTGATTGTTTGAGGCCTTTGTTAATACCAAATACTAGGGAAGAGACACCATTTTAAGAATTATGGACCACAAGAATTCCAAACTACTTACACAAAACGCCGCTTGTGTGGACACCTAAACTGGCAACTGTTGCACAACGTATATCCTCCATCTGATAGCGTGGCCCCGTGCTAAGAACATGTTCGGCTAAATTTAATGAATTCACCTTCCTAAGTAAAGGGTCTGCAGCACCGCCTGGTTCCAGTAAAGGTATTTGATGGGATTCGGGTTCGTTATTAGCTTTCAAGGCATTCAAATCTGAAAGAGTTAGGAACATATTAAAAGGGTTGCTGCTGGCTAAGATTAAGTGATTGCCTGCAAACCTTCACAGATGTTATGTAAAATTGCTGCCCGAACATGCTTGATTTTCATGCCAGCCGGTTTATAGACATTTATGATTCCATTGAGATTTCGAAAAACCAAGGAGGCATCTCGCACCTTTTGTAAAGCCATTTCGGGTCTCGGACCGGCAACGAATTCTCAGCTCCACAATTTCCCGCCCTTCTTCTAGACCACGAAGGAAGACTACAAAAATATATAAGTTATCATATATATCATTATATCGTTTTTGAAGAATAAAAAAATAGTTTCCCGGAATCAGGGTATAAATACCTACCTCTAGGAAAATTTTCGAAAAAATCTAAGTTTTTACTAAACTAGATTTAAACCGCAAATTTTATAGGAAGGTGACAGGAAGACAATTTGGCGAAAATGCAATGTATGCCGACTCGGCAATGAGACGGATATTGCAGTTTAAAATCCGGTATTATTTGAATTATTCTACACAAATCTCACAATCCTACACAATCCTACAATCATTTAAGTAATTTATTTAATAATTTATATCAACATTTGTTTTTTTTTTTTCGACTTTAGCCTTTTTGCTTGGAGTAAAAATTATGTTTTGTTATGCCGACGGAATATTAGTTGGCCATTTAGTTAATATATTTTTTATATTTTGATATTTTTAACCTTCTGAAATGTTTGTAAAGAAAGGAGAAATGACGTGCAGCCATCTGATTTTGTGTACCATATGTCTAGACGTACTTTTCGTTGACTTAACTTTTGTGCTGTCATTCCAATCACAATAATGCATAATCAGCTGTCTTGGAAGGGGTATACATAGGCCATGCCATGGCAGAAGAATACAGGTAGATGCATCAACGCTTGGGAGCATTGATATGTCAAAAACATTTAAATGTTTTTTCAAATATAAGTAGATTTTTATATGTTTCCTTATACTACGTCATTCCATAAACACCATAAACAGTTCGTTTACGCCAGTGCCTCTTTTGCGATAACAGGAGCGTGTTATCAGTTTTCGTGATTAGCAGAAAAGGGTTATCAATTCACCCATCATATTTGTGCCTTTTTTCTCTTGAATTCCGTTTTGCATTCATATTCACAGCTGTGAATTGGTATCTCTGTTTAAGAGAGCCACACTGTTGAATACTCTCTTTGAAAGGCACGTGGAAGCATTCTCTGTTTATTTCTTATTTGCTGGCCAAGGCACAAGACATTCTTCCGAAATGAAGTGGACCACAGCCAATTTGAAAAGTCCAAATTACACCGAAAACCATGAAATTTATGTGGGAACCAAAACGGGGACCTTCAAAAGTAAGTAAACATAAAATTTCTCTCAAGCTTTTCATATAAAAACTCACTTCCTTTCAGAGTTACTCCCTGCGTATGAAGACAAGCCCTTTAAGCAATCCAACTTACAAGACCTCAACGAATTGGACAAAGATTCGCACATAACCAGCTTAAGTTTTGCGAATGCCAATAAATCGGAGATACTTATTGGTCGGGGAAAGTCCACGGCACAGGTGCACTCGGTACGTACCGGTCATACACAATACACCATTGATTTCGAGGAGTCTCCCATTGCGGGCTTGGCGCGTTATGATAACTGTGTTGTTGCTGGCTTCGGTAATGGACACATACGCAGTGTGGCCATAAACGATGATGGTGACATTGATGAAGAACAACCCAAACTGCTGTTGGACAAAGTGGGTGATGATATGTCACGTTTAAGACAGTGTCCCAGTGATCGCAACATAGTTGCTGTCGGTGGCAAGGGCAGACAAAACAATCTGAAGATTTTCGATATGGCTGCAGGGGGAAAGCAGCTGTTTACATCAAAGAATTTACCCAATGATTACTTGCAACTTGAGGTGCCAATATGGGATTGTGATGTGGGATTCTTTGATTCTCCGCATACATTGGCAACATGCTCGCGTTATGGCTATGTACGTTTGTATGATACAAGAAAACAAAGACGTCCAGTTCAGTGCTATGCCACGGAAGATCAAATGAGCTTCACCACATTGGCATCAAATGGAAATTACATTTACACCGGTACCACAATGGGGGCATTGAAGGTAGGTTTAGATTGTCCATAGTTAGTTTTGCAATGATGATAATGAATTATTTTTTGTAGGCTTTTGATATCAGACGCATGAAAACCTTTGTCCATACCTATAAAGGTTTTACGGGAGGCATTAGTGACTTGCATTTGGATGCTTCGGGCAAATATTTGGCTTCTGCCTGTTTGGATCGTTATGTGCGTGTACACAATGTGGACTCCTGTGTTATGTTGTATCAGTGCTATGTCAAGTCTAAAGCAACCCGGGTACTTCTACGTGAATCCATGGAAAATCCTAATGCCGCGGAAGATGGCGAAGAGATGGAAGATGATGAAAACGGCGGCAAATCAAATGGTAAAAATAAAAAGAAAGCCAACAAAACCCAAGGAGGCAATGTATCCGAGGATGAAGAATATGAAAATATGTTTGATAATATGCAGACAATATGGTGAGTGGGGAGAAAGGAGTTTTAATGGGGAACGAATCATCATTGGGTTTTAATTTTTTTAGTGACAATGGAAATGATGCCCAAGACGATGAGAATAATAGTGACGACGACAATGAGGATGGTGAAGGAGACAGTAGTAATGAAGAAGAACCCGAAGAAAAACAAAAATCCTCCAAAGTTGGCTCGAAAAGAAAAGCCAAAGGAAATGCAATAAAGAACAAGAAGAAAAAGAATTAAGCGCCTGGTTAAACTGAAGATACATTTAAGTTAATAAATAGTTGTAACATATTTTCAAGTCCCCTGTGTTATAGAAATTATCTTTCAAGGTATGTGTAATTCCTTTGGTGGGGCTCAGTTGATTTTTGTATAAGCTAATTAAACTTAACACTTAAAATAAAAAAAAAATATATCGAATATTTTAATAATCATTAAAAAGTAATATAGTCCCACTCGAAACGGGGAGAAAATGGCTTCAAGTATGACTAAAAATGTGAAAAAGCCACTTTACATATGACTACCATGAATTGTAAGCGTTTGGGGTTTTCCGTTTTTTTTTTGCTTTTCAGGCTACGGAAAAGCTTCCTTTGAACTCCATGAAACGATATTTTCAATTTTAAAGTTATTTCATTGGTTTGGCAACAGTTTTACAAACATGTTTTTGAAATTAAAGTCCTTTTCCTCTACAAGGATTGGGTGCTTATCTTTAGCGTTCACAGAGCCAAAAATCATTTTATTCCAGAAAAGAAGGGACTTAAATGTGGTAACATGTCGATTCTATTTCGACTCTCTCTATCGAAAAAAAAACTAACTTCTTTTTCCTCTTCTTAACGACGAGAACCCGCTGCAAATCAAAACTCCTTTAAATATAACTGACGCCTAAGAGTATACTACAATTTATATTAACTTCTTTTACACCAAGTTTGTTTACTTTAATAGTTATTATTTGGCCTTATTACATTGTATTTAATGTTGAAAGTGACATTTATTTTGATTTGCTTTGGCGGACAACACCATTCCAATTACCAAAAACAACAACGAAAACAACATTAACCATAAATAGACAAATGGATGTGAATGTTATGTCATTACATCAATTAACAACAAATCCACAATGGGAAGATGAAGGCGGCTGGCAAACGTGTAGCTAACATAAGAAATAAGTATTTGGTAGTTTTGCTCTCCAGCAGCACATAAACCCACACACATCTGGTCACACACAGACACACAGACTGACCGACAACCGTCTCCTTGGGTCACGTGTGTGGTTAAAAGGACTTCCCGAGTTAATGTCTACATTCTGCAATTAGGCCTTTGATAAATACCTTTGACCATTTAGAACATATTCAGGATCATGGTTGTTGTTAGTGTTATTTTGCCTAATGGTACTATTAGTTGTGTGTGAGTGTTTTCATAGTTGTAATAAGTATAATGAAAAACATAATGTTTCTTTGTGTTATGGCCAAGTTGAATAACATATTTTTCCCGTTGTTGTTTTTGTTAATAACTGAAATGAGCCAAAACATAATTTGGCTTTAAGTGAGTATTAAATGTTATAAACTACTACAGCAAATGACTAGGTGTGGTCCCAGGCACATATATATTTATGCTCATGTGTTATTTCCAACACCTCCCCTTCACACTTCACAGAATTCGACCACAGAGATTGTGGTTATGACAAATGAAATAGTGGACAGATTCAATGGGAGCAGAACTATAAGCTGAGTGTGATTGTGTGTGTGTACGACTTAATTTGTGACAATAGTAATTCATAATAGGTATGTAGTGAAATTGTTCTCTTAATGAATTGAAAAGTAGATTTATTAAATAATGAGGTAGATTATTGGTTCAATAATATATGTATTTTAGGAAGGAACCATTATCATGGAATAGCATATTAGGATTTTGGAAAGGAAATACTAAAATATATGAAAATGACTAGAAACAGGCACATAAACCTATAAGCCTGGCATAAGGACATGACAATAGCAGTCTCTTCTTCTTGTCTGTAATACAGTATTTTCAATTATATTTTAATTAAAGAAGAAGCATAGACAAATAAATGGAATAATTCCATATTTACATTAGGAAGTTTGCTTGTGATAAGTATAAGTATAATACAATTGAAGGAATGGCCAGTATCCTTTTGTGTTTTTATTTTTATACAAAAATATTAATATCAACGACAGAAGACGGAATAATGAAGAACGAAAATGGCTGAAAACAAAAATTAAGGAAGCAAGAACAAAATATAACTTTTAAAATTGTCACAAGTTAACTCTCCCTGTCTAAATCAGGAGTTTCATATTGTCTCTTCTTCTTCTCTGCAATTCACTGTAGATGAATACATTGTAAAAGAAGAAGACACGAATGTTAATTTCATGTGGTGCTTTTATTTTTATACAAAAATATTAATAGCAACGACAAAAGAGGGAACAATGAAAAACGAAAATGGCTAAAAACAAATTGATTCGTATAAATTCAGAGACAAACACAAAAGAGAACGATTAAAATGGCCACAAGTTAATTCCCCCAGTATGTCTGGCTTTCATTATGACTCTTCTTCTTCTCTGCCAATCACTGTTGATGAATACATTTTAAAAGAAGAAGAGGCAAATGTTAATTTCATATTGTGTTTTTATTTTTATACAAAAATACTAATAACGACAGAAGAGGGAATAATGGAAAACGAAAATGGCTAAAAACAAATTGATTCGTATAAATTCAGAGACAAATACAAAAGAGAACGATTAAAATCGCCACAATTCAATTCCCCCAGTCTGTCATTATGACTCTTCTTCTTCTCTGCCAATCACAGTTGATGAATACATTTTAAAAGAAGAAGAGAAAAATGTTAATTTCATATTGAATTTAACGACTTTGAGGCAGCACCATCGCCGCTTGGACAACCACAACGCTATTGTTAGTTGCTGGTATGGCCAAAAATAAAGCGGAGAACAATTTGGTAACTCAATTCACAATATCGCAATATGTAAATCGAGAACGTTAAAATGAATAATAGCTCTGTTTTGTTCCCCAAAAAGGCACTTCTGGTCACTTGGGCTTACTAAAAGCAAAGCCGGCCAACTATAGTCGGTATGTTGCGGGACCATGTTGATAGCCGGAGATGGACTAGTGTTGAAGGAAAGCAGATCCACCCCCACATTATGTAGTCTATCAACGAAAGCCAATTATGAATGTTGGATCAAGCTGCCGTATTTTAAAGGAAGTATGAAGACCTGGGACCAATTGAGGGATTGCAGCATCCCATTTAGATTAAATTGTGAACATGCAACCATACATCTGTATTAAAGCGCCTAGTAAGTCTATATCTATCAAATCAACAATTTTGAAATTAAAAAGCCTCTGTTATTAAAACTAATAGCATGCAATTTGTTTTAGAAAACAAAAACAACTTTATTATATTTGCTGTTATATAGATAAATTTTCAATATTATTAACTTTAATGCCCATTTTGCCGATTAAATCTAATGCAACAAAGTCCTTTTGTTTTCTGCTGCTGCCATCATCGTCATTGAGGCGGCAACAGGAAAAAAATAGATGTGTGGCCAACTATGGCAGGACAATTAATTGAGAAGATTAAATGATGTTGAAACAAAAAAATGAACGAGAGTACTCTGCGTTGCGGTTGCAGCTGCCTAGCGCATCTGTTATCGTGACTTGAATGTTCCCCCAGGCAATGCACAATTCAATGGCAGCAAAGGGAATTGCACTTTACCTCGCCTTTTGTCTACTTCTCATCACTTGGAGTTGCGGGCTAAATTGCAAATAAGTACCAGGAACAAAAGCATTGTGTGCCAACGATTTGATATTAAAGGGAAAATGCAATTGTTTATGCCATGCTTTCGTTACCGTCAAAGTTTAGTCTCCCTTTACGCTTTGTGGGTAGTGTAGGAGGACAATTTAAGTAAATTAAGTAGAATTATCGTTGTAAATATAAACGATTGGGGTGCATGTTATTAAAAGTTTGCTGTAAGTAAGGGAAGGATGTTATTGGAGAATATAAAATAAGGCTTCAAAGAGATTTATCAGTTGAGTATGAAAGGATGCCCTTGTCTCTAAAATTTGTGGCCTCCTGAACATATGCTACACAAAGTGGTGAGTTGTGAAAGAGTATAAATAGGAACAAAATTAAAAATATTTTTCCTATTTTAGGGACAATGAAGCTGATGCCTAAGACAATGAGAAAAGTAATAGCAACAAAAATTGTCGAGAGTGAAAAGGGCAGAGGTAATAAAGAAGAATCTATAGATAGACATAAATCTTACGAACTCAATTCCGGAAATATGAAACAAAAGCTAATATAGGAATGGGAAATTCTATGTTGACGTGGCGGTATTCGATCTGTATAGTAGAACTCAAAGGGGTTTGTATTATTTTTATTTTTACTAACCTCATCTTAAACATTTTTAAATTGGATTTTTTTTGGCATAGCTTGCAATGCATCTGGTAGGAAATTATCTAAAAAACCTATATACCAATATTATAACTGATTTTTAATGATATTCATAAAGTTTCCAGATACTAATACCCTCCATCGTAGGGTATACTAAGTTTGTGATTCCGTTTGTAATACCTCGAAGTATACATTTTAGATCCCACAAAATATATATATAATTGATCAGCATAAAATTCTATGTCGATGTCCGTCAGTCTGCCCGTCTGTGGTAATCACTCTAGCTTCCGAACGAAATGAAGTAGGTTGATAAAATTTTACTCACATGTATATTATATCTGCAGGACTTTTGGTATTGAAAATGAACCATGTAGGTCCACGTTTTGGTATAGCTCCCACATAATGGTACCTCCCGATATTTGGTATTTTGATGATATTAGCGACATTTTTCACCGGAATTGTTTCAAATCTGGTATTTGAAGTTCGTAACGGATACCACAGCCTATGACAGAAAATTGTCTGTGCAGGCCCACTTTTTCGTATACCCCCATATAATGGTACCTCCCGATATTCGGTATTTTGATGACATTATTCACCAGAAATGTTCCCAATTTGGTATTTGAAGTTTGTAATGGATGCTACTGCCTATGACAGAAAATTGTCTCTGCAGGTACACGTCTTCGTATATGCCTTTATTGTCTGAATTTTGAGAAATCTAATCTATTTACAAACAAATTTATAAAATAAACATATTTTTGATTTTTTGCACCCACATACATGCATCCATAGCTACTTTTTATATTTTTTTTCACAGATTTATTTATATTTGATCAAAAAATAAAAGAAAATAGAACAACAACAACAAACAAGTCGATCAACAAATTTACATAAGCAAATAAAGAAAATATGGGTTGTAGGACGTCATCGTGACCTCCTTCATATATTAATAAACATATGTGGTGTATCATAACAACGACACGCTGAAGAACAACCCATAAAGTTCTCAGCAGTGAACCTTGCCAAGGAAAAACTACGCACTTTATTAAAGCAAATATGCAAATAATCTTTGGTTACACAACAAAACTGAATTTTTTTTCAAAGATTTTATTTTTGTTCCTCCTCTGACTCAATTCATTTTTTCTTTCCTGTAGTTCCTTTGTTGAAGTTGATGGATATTTTTTCATTTAGTTTTTCTTTTCGAACAAAAGATTTTTGATTTACACTTGCAAGAAGGGTGGGGTGGGGTAGGGTGTAAATGATTTTGGGGCATTTTGTTGTAGCAAATTGCCTCCATGGCCATCTAATGGTAGGAAACACCATGACTTGGCAAAAACAAGTCATGTTGCAGAAGGCTTCAAAACCACACAGTTTCTGGTGTGTTGGAATTCTGTGGAATAGTTGTAGTTGTAGTTCTATGTAAAATTAAAGCCAGCCTGAGGAATTTTTCATAGAAGATATAAAAGGATCTTACGACAGGATGAGTAACCTTAAAGAAAAAATTGGATACTTGGTACATATTCGTCCTTTTTAAACGCCTCTTTAAATAGTAGACTTTTATAAAGAGATTTTTGACAACAGTGCCATTTCATAGACCTCTCTCAAGCAGCTGACCTCTCTAAAGGGTTCCTATAGATAAAAAGTTTTTTACAACGTAGAAAAGATCTCCGAAAGGTTGCAGAAAAAAATCTTTAGAAGGCCTTCTGTGTAGAAAAGACCTGTGGAAGGAACTTTAAGTTGTGAAGGCTTCTGAAAGACCTTAAAGAGAGCCTTTGAAGGAGAAATATCTCCTGAATTTTCTTAATCTAAAGAAGACTTATAGAAGGTTTGTGGGATATTTTGGGAATAAGTATGCAAGATTTTCTACGGATATAATGCCTGAAAAAGGATTTTAATCTGGAGGAGACCTATGTAAGGCCCATTCTAATAGAAAAGCTTTAGATCTTCTCATTAAGTTTCCGGAATTCTCATCCAAAGAAGACCTGGAAGTTTTCCCCATATAATACTTGGGGGGTCTTCTCCGTAGAAGCGCTTGAGGTACTCTTCATAGAAGAGCTTGAGGTACTCTTGATAGAAGAACTTGTGGTCTTCTCCATAGAAGACCTAGTGGTCTTCTCCATAGAAGAGCTGGAGGTCTCCTCCATAGAAGAGCTGGAGGTCTCCTCCATAGAAGAGCTGGAGGTCTCCTCCATAGAAGAGCTGGAGGTCTTCTCCATAGAAGAGCTGCAGGTCTTCTCTCCATAGAAGACCTGGAGGTCTTCTCCATAGAAGAGCTGGAGGTCTTCTCCATAGAAGAGCTGGAGGTCTTCTCTCCATAGAAGACCTGGAGGTCTTCTCTCCATAGAAGACCTGGAGGTCTTCTCTCCATAGAAGACCTGGAGGTCTTCTCTCCATAGAAGACCTGGAGGTCTTCTTTCCATAGAAGACCTGGAGGTCTTCTCTCCATAGAAGACCTGGAGGTCTTCTCTCCACAGAAGACCTGGAGGTATTCTCTCCATAGAAGACCTGGAGGTCTTCTCTCCATAGAAGACCTGGAGGTCTTCTCTCCATAGAAGACCTGGAGGTCTTCTCTCCATAGAAGACCTGGAGGTATTCTCTCCATAGAAGACCTGGAGGTATTCTCTCCATAGAAGACCTGGAGGTCTTCTCCATAGAAGAGCTTGTGGTCTTCTCCATAGAAGAGCTTGTGCTCTTCTCATAGAAGAGCTTGTGGTCTTCCCATAGAAGACATGTAGGCCTTTCCTTCCCATAGAAGAGCTTGTGCTCTTCTCATAGAAGAGCTTGTGGTCTTCCCATAGAAGACATGTAGGCCTTTCCTTCCCATAGAAGACCTGGAGGTCTTCTCTTCCCATAGAAGACCTAGAGGTCTTCTCTTCCCATAGAAGAGCTGAAGCTCTTCTCTTTTCATAGGAGAGCTGGAGCTCTTTTCTTCTTACAGAAGAGCTGGAGCTCTTCTTCTTCTCATAGAAGAGCTGGAGATCTTCTCTCCATAGAAGACCTGGAGGTCTTCTCTCCATAGAAGACCTGGAGGTCTTCTCTCCATAGAAGACCTGGAGGTATTCTCTCCATAGAAGACCTGGAGGTCTTCACCATAGAAGAGCTCGAGGTCTTCGCCATAGAAGAGGTCGAGGTCTTCTCCATAGAAGACCTAGAGGTCTTCTCCATAGAAGAGCTTGTGGTCTTCTCCATAGAAGAGCTTGTGCTCTTCTCATAGAAGAGCTTGTGGTCTTCCCATAGAAGACATGTAGGCCTTTCCTTCCCATAGAAGACCTGGAGGTCTTCTCTTCCCATAGAAGACCTAGAGGTCTTCTCTTCCCATAGAAGACCTGGAGGTCTTCTCTTCCCATAGAAGACCTGGAGGTCTTCTCTTCCCATAGAAGACCTGGAGGTCTTCTCTGCCCATAGAAGACCTGGAGGTCTTCTCTTCCCATAGAAGACCTAGAGGTCTTCTCTTCCCATAGAAGACCTGGAGGTATTCTCTTCCCATAGAAGACCTGGAGGTCTCCTCTTCCCATAGAAGACCTGGAGGTCTTCTCCGTAGAAGACCTGGACGTTTTCTCCATAGAAGACCTGGACGTCTTCTCCATAGAAGACCTGGAAGTTTTCTCTTCCCATAGAAGAGCTGAAGCTCTTCTCTTTTCATAGGAGAGCTGGAGCTCTTTTCTTCTTACAGAAGAGCTGGAGCTCTTCTTCTTCTCATAGAAGAGCTGGAGATCTTCTTCATGAGACATTGTCCTCTCACAGAAGAACTGGATCTCTTCTCTTTTCATAGAAGATCTTCAGAATTCGCGTCCTTTCCACTCCACCCTATTACATTAACTCATTTGTTTGCCATCCCTGAACATGTTCCGACAACGTAGTTACAAATTTGCAACAGCAACAGAACAAAATCTGCTTGTAAGGATTTGTTATTTATTTATCAGTTTTAGTCAACAATGATGTGACAATCCCCAACTATGAACTGTCATCCTGTCCGGTGTCTGTTCCATCAACGTGTTACGAATTTGCACAAGGCTTGTAAGGTGTTATCA